TAAGCTGTGTTTTTTTTAAGTGACAGCTTGTGGACTACGGCAGTGCCTGCACTGGGGAATTGTTTCTGGCCACTAGGCTGGGCCAAGATCAGTACCTCACCTAAGCACTGCTTCTTTCCTATAAGGAACTCACTTCTAAAATCAAACAGGTTGGAAGGTGGGGAAGGATCTACTTGGCTTTAAGGCCCAAGATAACCAGCAATTATTACAGTACGACAGGCAAGCTTGTCTGAAAATCTGATTAGGTTACTCATTATTCAATTCATACTAATACATTTAGTGTACATAAAAGTACCCACAGTCTTACAGGTCCCTCCTGCAAACGCAAAGACCAGCTCCTGTTGCTCTTAGAACATTACGTCAGTTAATTCCACATTTCAAATTCTCAATACTCTGTTGAAAAGTAAAGAAATAAGAAAAAACAAGCTGTAATTATATTTCTAGCTCTCCAAACAGTGTGAGCACATTCACAACTATGGACATCACAGGGCCAATTCTGCTAAAGAAACTATTCTTTAGCGGAAAATAAGCACATGCTGCCCTCCTGAGAGCACGTGTCCCCTCTGACTTGGTAACTTCCCTACTGTCCTGTAATTATTGTGTAGGAGGAGGTGCTATAACGTTTTCTGAGACACTGCTAAGTGTAGATAGCCTCCCATCTCTTCCCAGTCAAACCACCTCCAGACAGATTTCCGTGCAGCCTTCGTGCAGGCAGCACACAGAAGACAGCACAGTGGAGCAGTACGCAAACGGCGGGGGCTTTCCAAGAGCCCCAGATTACTGTACTCTAAAAGCTCACTATTAAGTTAATTATTTGTGTCATCCAATGTAGGTTCTAAACAAGCCAGTCTTTACTCAGACAAATGTAAGATTAAGACCACTAGAAACCTGAAAAAGGGCTGCAAAATCAGGCCATAACGCAGGGCAGAGCACGCTAATTCTCATGTTTAATTAGCTCACTGGAGACCTCTCCCAACACCACAGTGGCAGCAGGGCAAGCTCTGGGCAGCACCACTGCTCACAACCTCTCCCCATCTCCATGGCCCCAAGAGCCAAACCCAGCTGCTCCGCTGAGCGCAAGCCACGCCACCAGGTTTCCTGCAGACATCTAAATGCAAACATCATGAGGAACATTTTTGCATTATAGATGTAGAAGTGGAAATGATCATGTTGAGGATTGAGAGAACCAGTTGGTGTGCCCTCCCCACTGTTTCTTCCAAATGTGGCCTAAACCTCTCGACTGTACACAGAAGAAAGGGTGGAGGAGGAAGGCAGTAATATCACCTGTGTGTATACCAAATGCAAAAAAAGTCCCTGTTGGACATTTGTGCACTGCACTGAAAAACTTAAAAGGTGCCGAAGTCTTACAACTTTTAAAAGCTGCCCTACAATAAGCCACTAAAAAGTTATTTTTCTTTGTTCAGCCAAGTGAAACTGTAAAGATGATTTCACGATGGTTTGTGAACAGACACATCGCACAAATTCTGTAGTAGAAGAAAGGTCCCTTCACCTATCAGGCTAAAACCCAGCAGGATTCATGGAACAAGAACTTCAACTCAAACTTATAAAAATTAGTAAATCAGCTCTTATTCCTGACACAGGAAGAGTAACTACCAATTTTTTTAAAAGAATCTTTACATCAGGATTGACCAGGCACCTAAAACAAAACATTTAAGATCATCAGAAGTTACAACTTCAACAGCAGACTGGACACAACACTATAGCTTGCATGATGCAGGTCAAGTGCTGCGATAGGCAGACTGCCACGGCCTTCTTATTTATGAATTTGACTGCATATATGAAGATTAAATAGTATATTCTATATCACATTGATAAGCATCACATACAACCTTGTACTTTATAGACAACTATAATCTGAAGACAAATTAGCTATCTAATCACTTAGAAATAAAATACTTGGGGACAGAGCTGTAGTTACTGTCTATCACCAGCACTCCACAAATGACAATTCTTCCAAGTTTTTCCATTTTTGGGAACACTGCAAACAAATCTACTATGCTATTTTTTCATTTTGCTCTGCAAGCTCACTGCTGCTTGTTCATATGCATCAGAGATCTCTATCCGATCTAACATTTTAGTTAAACACTAGTGTCAGAAGTACTGTATTAGCTATTTTGCTTCTTAATTCAGGGACTAGCACACAAGAATGTGAACATTTCAGGAAGGAAAAAATACAGAGGTATATCTGATTCTAAGCATAAAATTAATTTGCCAGGAATGGTTTGGGACATATTTTATTCCAGCACCAGCTCAGTTTGGCTGAGTATGTCATCAGCATCCAAGTCATATCTCCTGGGGCAATCACTTGAATTGTGAGCCAATAGCTTTGGGACTAGCGAGAAGCTGTGATGACCCCGGGCAGCTCTGCTGAGCATGCGAAATGGCATCTCCCCACAGTGACTGCCTTCCAGTCGTAATTCTTGTTCATAACCCTAATGCTACCATTGACAGGACACCCTTGAAGGGCAGTATGCAACTGAGGAGGCTTATAAAAAGAGAACAGGCTGTCGAGCTGTTCATGTCTCTTCCTCTCCATGCACAGAGAAACATAAAGCACTACTTATTATGTATAGCCACAAGTAATTCAATGCTCACACTCTAAAACAAGGTCAAATCAGAAAACCTCTGCTTCTTATGCTTTTATTTATTTGATTTCTTTTCATGGAAAACAGCCTTTAATACTCTTGGTAACAAGAGAAAATCCCCTTGAAATAATGGCTTCTGATTTCACAGATCTCTGTCTTGCCACTTATTGCATCTTTTTGGCACCACAGGACATTTTGGATACTTGATTTTGCATTTCCCCCATCTCTTGCCTCTGCCCTCTTCTTCGATGTACATTTTTTTCTCTGGCATATACAGTATAGCCCTTTCCTAACTCATGGCTGCATTGACACACATATTGGCGTCAGTATAGTTCTTATTTCATTGTGTTCTCCCTTCTCTCTTTTTTTTATTAAAAACAAACCCCTCAAACAACCAAACAACAGTGCAGTATTTTCTATTAAATCTGAACACCACTACTGAACAGTCCTAGTGATCTTGTAGCTGACAAAAATCACTTGCACAGCATATGTAGTTTCTGCATCTTTACCCATTATTTTAAGGTCAAGAAAAAGAAAACCAGCAGGTGTGACTCGCTAAAATGAAATTGTATTGCACAGCCAGTGGAAGAATGAGACCTTAAAACAGGTTTTCTGTTACTTTTAAGATCCCTGCAAGAAAGCCACTGCCACCTGAGATGGATCTCCATAAGAACTTTAAAGGCAAGATTTTTCAATTGTTTGTACAAGCATCAAACTCTGTGGCAAGGACACCTGCAACACAGAGAATACAGATTCCTCTTGCACTGTAGTGAGTGCACTGACAGCCAGTTTATCAGCACTCCAGGATGGGCTGTCCTAGGGACGATATTTCTATTACCATGCAAGAAATCCAGGCTAGATTCCTTTTCATTTTCTCAGTCACTGAGCTTGAAAAGCTGGGACAAATCTGAGCAGCTAATCTGATTCTTGTGGGAGAAAGCTGCGAAAGCAAGCGGGTCTGAGTCAGTTCGCAAAGGCTTTCACATACAAACCCTCCTAAAAGACCATTTTTAATAAATTGTCCATATAAACGTAGCTGACTGACTACACCAAGGCTGAGAGATAACAGAAGGATGTAAAATACTGCAAAGAAAGAAGAGGAAGAGGGAAGCATGCTAGGTGTTACATTTTGACCATTCCCCTTGCTCTGCACCTTTTATCCTTTGTTTGCGTCAAATCTTCACATCAGACATTATTCTACTTTTGTGTATTGCCTGGCACATTTGACAAACTGCTACAAACAAAATAACTCCCTCAGCCACCGCGCTAAATGCGAGACATGTCTCCCAATACCAGGTGCTCTAGAAGAAGTCTCTCTCATGCAAGGTCTCCTCAACTATAAGCAAAGACACTGTAATGTTTGACTTCATGTTCACTAGAGGGAAATAATGAAATATTTTCCCTCGAGCCCCGAGATGCAAATGGAAAACCCTACATCATCTTTTCCAAAGCATATTCTTCCTGTAAAAATCCAGAAAAACAGGCCTAAGCACTTGAATCCTGAACATTAGGAAGGCACATACAAATGGGGTATCCCTCCAGCACAGGGAATCCCCCACAGTCAGTTTGTAACTAGGCAGGGTGCAAGACAATGGGCAACCAGAGGAGTGTCACCAGGAAGAAGCACATGGGCTCCTTCAGTTGGCCGTAAATAGAACCCCTCCACCACATTACCACAGCAAGGCGTCACCAGCCTTTTCAAGCCCAGAGGTCTGTAAATACAGCACAGCTCTGCTTTACCACGTACAACCACCGTTTTACAACGTGACTCCCTGGGAAAGCACTACAGAGGAAAAAACCTTTCTAGGAGGCCTCACTATCTCCTCCTCATAATCAGTATTTGTCTTTTATGTACAACTGCAGAACAAGGGAAATAATCTCCTTCAAAGACTTTGCATGTGACAGTTCAAGATGGTTGTGGCTTTTGTATGACGTTGGCTGCAAGGCATCATGAACCATCTCAGGGTGCTAGCAAGTTGTCATCTGATGGTCCATGATGACAGACAGAGGTATGGGATAATCTGCCACCCCTTTTTCCCCACAGGTTCACAATGTGACTTCTGAGTAAGATTAAACAAGTTTAATAATACCCCTTCCAAAGTTTTTGTGCTTTTAATTATGTCTGAATAATCTTCCTCCCCACACAAGTGACTCGTTTCATTTTTGACCTTGAAGACCAATGATATCACAAAACAACAGGGAAGAAAACACAGCAAAACACCAGAGGCCTAAAGACTGGTCTCAATCTCAACCAATAGGCAGGAAACAGGACTCACTTGGACTATTCTAGCTGGTAGATCAAACAAAAAAAACCCACACTGTAATACAGATAGGAGTTACAAGAGCCACTGTTGGAAGAGTGTCGGAT